AAAGGGCGTGGCAGCAAACAGATGGTAGTTCAAGCAATTTGTGGATGTCAGAGATAAATAAGAAACAACTGGAGCCCAGACAGGCAGCCAAAACAGCAGCAGGGTGGCCAGAGTTTTGAGAGTGTTTGCCAATGGGCTGCAATTCTAGAAGTGGTGAAGTGGAGAAGAGAGAAGCAAGGAGTACAACCTAGAGGTGCTGAGTACCAGAGGACAGGCTCCTGGGTGGGTTACAGAGGCAGGGGCTTAGGCTGGGGACACAGCCCTCACCAGGAGCTTCACAGGAAGGCAGAATAAGATTCAGAAGCTGGTCACAAGGGTAGAAAGAAACCCAAAGACAGGCTTACTCTTTGATTAGTCATCCAGGGCTTGGCTGGGTGGGGCCTCAGTTGTTTTAACCTCCACACCTATTTGTGAGTATTAAATTCGTCATGTTTTAGAAAGGAGCACTTTGAGTCTGGCAACTGGGAGTGATGCACCAGTTTCCTGAACTCTCCAGAAGCATCTTGCAGAACTCTAGTAGTCCTTTTCTTATTTGTCAGCAGGTGCTCTTAAAAAGCTTAATTTTATGTTGACTGCTGTGTTTGGATTTAGAGTTCTTTTCAAAAGAAATTCTGAAATATATTCAGAATGTGCCCATGTGGATATGTTTTGTTAAGGGACGTATTTATAACCCCGGATTCCATTTCCTTGATCTGTACCCTTATTGTTAATCAACATTCCAAAGTCAATACTGTGACAGACATGAGTTACCTGTTTTGCAAGGACTGGTTTATTGGGTATACTAATGTGTGCTTTGCTCAAATGTAAGGAAGAGCTAATTAAAAATGAAACAAAGTGAGATTTCTTAGAGTTTGTGTAGGCTTCAGTTGTAGCAACAGGTTTTGGTAATTATTTAATTGTTTTCGTTTTATTTTATTTGTATATCTTTAAAATTTTATGGTAATTTTTTTCATGTTACAAATGACAAGGATTTTATAAGGTGGTTTTGCAAGAGATGAGAGGAATGTAATAAGAAATCTTGGGCTGTGGGCTGTGGGCTGTGCAAGGTAATTGCCATTTTGATGACTCCCCCACAATCTCTAGAAAAGCATTTATTGCTCTCTATTTTTTGTATGTTTGTGGATTCTTTGTAGGGAACTTGAAGAAGCAGAGTTTGGGTTGATGCAGTATGCAAATAGATATACATTCTAATGTTGGAGGTGGATGGGGAGTGAAGACACCTTCAGATAACTTCAGAGTTATCTGGGAAAAGATGACATGGTTTCCTTGCTTTCCTTGCTTATTTGTTGACAGAAGTTCAATTCAATTCATTTTAATTTAACTTAGTTAATTTATAAGATATTAATTGAACACCTATAGCATGCCAATTGCAAGTCCACAATATGCCAGTGGGAACAGATGGTTACAGAACTAAACTTAAAATAATATAAAGTATGCTAATTTAGGAGGACCAAATGTATAGGAAATGCTTTTTAAAGATGATGACATTATGGCTGAAAGATGATGTAGAAATTGGCGAGATGGAAAAGTGGGAAAGAGAATTGTAGAAAGAGGGATGAGCACATGCAAAATTTCAGAGTGCATCGGAGGCTCTGAAAGTGGTGACCAGTCTGGGGCAAGGTGTGGAATGGAGAGACATGAGTTCAGTGAGTGAGGTGGCCGATACTGATGGGGCTGTAAGCAGTGAGACTCACCGAAGCAGTATTATCAGGGGAATGGATGATGAGTTCTGTGTTTTAGAAATATCACTGTGAAGGCTTTTAGAAAATGGATTGTGGGAAGTGGATGGTAGAGCAGATAACAAGGAAGAGTGGTTGGAAAACATGAATTGGCTAACTATGCTGCTTTTCTGCATTGCAGTCTTCTGTGTTAACTCTGCTTGGAATGATGCTTTCGTTTTCTTTCTTTCTTTTCTTTTCTTTCTTTTTTTTTTTTTTTTGAGACAGAATCTCACATTGTCACCCAGGCTGGAGTGCAGGGCTGCAGTCTTGGCTCATTGCAGCCTTGACAGCCAGCCTCCACCTCACAGGTCAGGTGAACTTCCCAGGCTCTATTGATCCTTCTCCCTCAGCCACCCAAGTAGCTGAAACTACAGGCACATACTACCACACCAACTAACATTTTTCTATTTTTTGTAAAGATAGCCTTTCACCATGTTGCCTAGGCTAGTCTTCATCTTCTAGGCTCCAGCAATCCTCCTGCCTTGGCCTCCTAAAGTGCTGGGATTATCAGCATGAACCACCATGCCTGGCTGCTTCTCATTTCTCAACCCCATGGCCAACCTCCTCCAACTCCAACTCACTGCTCCTGTCCACCATTTTCTTTTGCTGCCTTCTACCCATCCTTTAGGTTTCTGCTTCCAAGTTACCTTCTCAGGGAAGTCTTTCCCGATTACCCAGTCTAAGTCTAGTTTTTTCAAATATGTATATTTAAGATTGATGTACTGTTAATATAATTCTTTCTCTCTAGACTTAAAGCTCCATGAAGAAAAGACTAATGTTTATATTTGTTTGCTCTTTGATTTATTTCTAGTAGCATCTGGCAAAGAGTGAATATTTAATAAATATTTGGTGAAAAGATGAATGAATAAATTCTACGTTAGTATTTTTAATTTTTTAAAGACTTTCTTCGAAGAGTGCTTTTTTTTTCTTCCCTAAATTCCAATCAACAAATTCAAGGAGAGTGTTTTTAAGTAATGTTCGTGATGGTCTTGCATCATTCTGAAAGTAAAAAAAAAAAAGTAAAGAAAAAAAAGAAACAACAACAAATACCATTCTACCTGAATTTCCACCTGAATTCTTTGGAGGTTAACATAGGTCATTCTGATAGACAGTCTTGCTCCCTAAATCTCTGATGACTTTGCAAGACCAGAACATAGTTCAAAAAGGGCTTGACTATATTTTCTCTTTCTCCCTCTTTATGGATAACATATAGGTAGGTTTTCATATATTAAATGCATGCATAACTGTTATAATCTAATGAAAATGTTGCTTAATTTTAATTCAATTTACTAAGCATATTTGTATATCAGTTTTATGCAAGATGCTGTACAAAGCATTTTGCATGCTGTACAAAGAAGGAAATTCCTTCTCAGAATATAAGCTCCAAGGGGGCAAAACCATGTCTACTCTGCTTAACATCATATTCCCCAAGGCAGAACACTGACACTGACAAAGTAGGCTTTAATAGATATTTGTGATTGAGTATATACAAAAACGGTTAGCAAAGATTTACAAGGCATATTCTCTGGCCTTTAAAAAACTTATGATATAATGGTGGGATAAGGTAAATTTCAAGTTTCAGACCTGAGATCACACATTAGAGAAAGAAAAATATCAGAGATGTCAACTAATCAGTGAGAAGTTGCACAACTTTACCAACCATTTTTTTTACTTGCCACATCTTACAAATATATTCTCTGGTAGGAAACAATTGGAGTGCTCAGTCCCAATCCAGAGCAACTCTCAGTATCTTAAACCCAACAGACATCTAGCAAAGCAGTGTTTTCTGATTCTTATGCCTGAAGGGTCCCTCTTTTTTTGTTCATATTTCAGGAATATTCAAGAACTAAGTAATGTACCTAGGTTGTTTTCCTAGCCTGTGTAAGAAGTATGCATTAGTTTCAGGGCCTTTAATTTTCTAGTTCCTATTACTGGTCTTAATTGGCCTTTTTTTCCTCCCTAAAATGGTCTATTAGATAGCACCCAAAAGTAAAAAACAAATCTAGAATATTCAACTCAGTTCCTCCTGAAAAAGAGTCAGGTGCACATTTATTTCCCTTATATCTGCTTTATTCTACAAAGAAATCTACATATGGTGATGAGTAGGCAATGTGACATAGATAATATAAGAACAGAAATGTGTCTCTTGTGAATAGATGCATTAAAAGATATTTTGGACTCACAAGATAGATTTAACATTTTCCAAAATGTACAAATTTAAGTTTGCCGTCAGTTTTCCTGTGGAGAGAATATAGCAACAAATGAGAAACGCTGAGCCCATAGGCACTTCATTAGCATCCAGACTTCACTAATGAATCCTAAAAATGTATTCAAGTTTCCCCGCTTATTGATGTTTTTAAAAGGAGTGACTGCAATTTAGAAATATTTTTGAAACTGGTGCTGATTACATAAGGATGATACTCAAATACATCACAATCAATTTTTATCCCTGAAAAAATTTTATTTTTTTTAATTTAAAGGAAAGACACACTTAGAAGTCTCTTTTCATAAAAATTGTTATTTTTCTTTTATTAAAAAAAGAACTGGAACAATATGCCATGTATGTTAGATGCTTGTTTTCATCTATAATTTTGAAAATATTTAAAACAACACATATGTTTTTATACATTCCACTGTATCATTCATTATTTCATAATTTTTGAGCTAATGTTAATGTGTCTTGGAGATGATTAGTTTATAATCTTTAAACTACTTTTGACTATTTGATTTTTTAAAATGTAATTTTTACTACAACACCACCATATATTCTGTTGAGATATAATACTCTGAAATAGAAGTTCTTCAGATTTTTGAGGTATTATCCCCTTTTGTACGAGACATTAGGGGGTTCTAACATATCCAAACCTACTTGCTAAAGCTGAACAAAAACATGGCTCATTCTACCACATGTGGATAGGATGCGTAGGAGGGACGACATTCCTTGTCTGTGGAAATAATTCAGATGGACTGTGAGACTACTTGGTAACTTTTCTGTAGAGGAAGTTTAAGCAATAGATTATCAAGTGGAGATTGAACTAGATGACCATATATTTCCTTTCAACTTGGAGATTTTAGAATTCTCTGATTCACTCTTACTTCCAGAATATATAGGGATGTAATGATATCAGGGACTCCCAAGTTTTACCAACTGGAAGGTTCTGTTTGTTAAGAGACCATGATACAATTCACATATTCCTTTGGCCATATGTCACACCTTCTAATTTGTCTTAATATATAATTTTACTTTAAATATGAAAAAGAAAACATTTTAATACTTACTTAACTTGAGAACAGAAGAAGCAATCATTGTTATAAGTTTTGCCATCAGATCCACAAATTGGCTCATACATCTGATAACAAAATCTCTCTTGTCCTGGTGGTAACTTTTTATAATGACTGCAGTCAACCTGAAAAAAAAATATTAAAAACCATTAAATCTTTCAACCAAATCTTTACTATCAGGATTTAGGATTTTCCAAGCAAGCTCAGAGGGCTCTCAATACATTTGTGTTTTATTATAATTGTTGGTTCTCATCTAACCCCTTTGAGACATTTTATGTCAGTTATAAAATCATGACTGATAAACATCTTTACCATAGCTGGTTCCCAACTCATAGCTTAATTTAAAATAGTTTTTTTTTTCTCATTATACTGGTTAATGCATCAGTTCTTAAAATACATGGCATATTATCAGATGTAACCATTCTAATGGGAGCGCTCAGAAGTGTGATATATTTTCTATAGGAATTATCTTATTATTTTTCTCTTTCACTGAAAAAGCTCAATATGAATGCAAGTATGAAATATAGGTATAACTATTACCATTTTAATGATTATTGACAAACTTTTACTACTAATTATTGGTAACAATTTACTTTGTCATATACTTTACCAGCACGTAGACAAATGTATCTTAACATTGTAGTCGGGAACCAGTGTTCTAAATTCCTAGAGGAAAGCCTATGGAAGTAGGTAGGCAATTCCCAAGAAAAGTTTTTCGTATTTTTAAAAAAATCTATCAGCATATAGAAGAGCATATACAGTAAAGTCAAACACATTTGAATACAAATCCTGACTATGTGACCCTGGAAAAATTATTTAGCCTCTCTAACCTTTAGTGTCCTTACCTATAAAATAAAGATAATAACTACATTGTAAGTTGTAAGAAAAAAATATGTTAAAAGAAAATATGTGTACAATGCCTAGCACTACATTGCATGGAAAATACTGAATAAATAATAGGCAGCATTTTTTATCTTTTGGTTTCTCTTTCAGGTCTACATAAACTCAAGCTGTATTCAAAAGACTCAATCTCTAGCTCATTTTGTCTGAGAGGTCTAGGCATGATATTTTACTAATTGTTGAATATCTCTACTTGCATAGCTTGGAATATACTCAAAGTTGAATCCTTTTTTCCCTCCAGATATGCTCTATTAATTACTTAATTAATCCATCAGCTTCCATACAACTCCTAAGTTTTCAGACTAAGGTGAAGTTGAGTGCAGCTGATGCAAAGATTGGTATGCATGACATAATGGCAGGAGGACTTGAGACGCTAGTGCAGCAGAATAAAAATAGCAGTGCCCCATGGTAAGTATATCCCAGTGTGATTTCCCTTCCTCTTCTTGCCTGCTCAGATCCCAGGGAGCCAGACTTTACGTGACACTCACAATATGATGGGAAACTACCAAGCTCATAACTTTCAGTTATCCTTTACATTCTCTCACAGTTACTAAATCATGAAAGATGGCTTGAAATCAGGCTCATCTGACTCCAACATTTATATCCTTAACCCTATTATTTTCTTTAATAGGTGAAACAAAAGACTCAAACATAAAAATTTCCCACGCCCCAGGATTAACAGTTAATAAGCAACAGACTTAGAGTGGAATTCAAATTGAGTACTGGCTAAAGATTTTTACTACCACACCTAGATTTTCTCAACAATACTTATTATTCTAACCTGAGTCATGAGTGGAAGGCTAAATTAAAGTCTTCATTTTCTAAGTTAGAAAAAAAAAGATATTTGTGACCTATTTAAAAATTACAAGAATCATGACTTGTCCTTATTGAGATTCACTATGTACCAGGCACCATGCTAAGCTCTTTTCAAATATTATGGCTTCAAGTCTTGGAATAATGTTATAAGTGTGTTGCCCATGGCCACATGATCAAAAAGGTGGAATTAAACACCAGGCCTTTCTAACTCTGATGCTAGTGTCTTCCCACCATGTTCTACTCTCTCCATTTTAGAAAGATATGCCTACAATTTTTGAAATAAAACCAGTTTTGATATACAAATGTGAATATTCAAACATACAGAAATTTAATTACTGTGTAGTATTAAATATTTCCTTTCTAATATTAACTCTAAAATTACATAAAAGTAGGACTTTTTATCAAGATGGATAAAACCAGTTTTGATATACAAATGTGAATATTCAAACATACAGAATTTTAATTACTGTGTAGTATCAAATATTTCCTTTCTGATATTGACTCTAAAATTACATAAAAGTAGGACTTTTTATCAAGATGGATGTACTGACCGTCTGTTTCGTCTGTTTGGCACATTCTATACCTGGAAGAAAAGACAATGTTAAACTCTGGAAGAACCTAATCTTATCAGAAAAATAATCTTTGCCTTATGCTTTAGCTTCCAACCTTCATAAAAATCTGTCTCTCTTCAAAACTGTGTATCAGCATTGTATCAAAAGTTGAAGCTCTTCACACAGATCTTTAAAAAAATTTTTTTTCTTCTTTGGAGTGGGAGTGGAATGTAGCCAAAGAGATGGAAAAGATGCCGTGATGAATGAAAAGTTTGTCTTAATCTTTTCTACTTCATAGTCAGAGCTCAGTAGAGACAGAAGAAATAAGTGAGTCATATTTAAGGATGTCTGCTATTGTGTACAGGTATAGATGATAGATGTTGGATCAGTGTTTGAAAATTCTGACGGCTAATTTTAACTCAATAATAGAAGAATAGCTCATACTACCAAACAATTGATTGAATTTTTTATGAAGAAATGAGTTCCCCGTAAATGATGATATCAAGTCAAAGCAGAGTCTGGATGATCATCTCCCTAAGAAATTGTGCAAAGTATTATCATGAATAAGCATTTGACTTTAGCTGACTGTTAGCATCCACTCTACCCCTGAGGTGATTGTAATTTAGTGATTTGTTGATTTAGGCAAAAGATATATTTCAAAAGATACCCCTTATTATTTATATGATGAATTACATGTATCCCAGAATTACATAGGCAGAAGACTACATGAGCTATTAGTACAAGGGCAGGGGCAGTATTATGAGAGATACTCACTGAACATGGTTGCAAGTGTCAGAGCCAATAGTAAGACAATGGCTGTTGTTCTCATTGTGCTGAAGCGGCCAAGGCAGTCAGATGCAGGGAAAAGAAGGGACCTGTCCATCTCACTTGGATCCTGCCTTATATATTTTCAAGAGTTCCTGCCTCAATTGTGAAATAGCTATTTCTAAGTAGCACAACCAAAAAAGAGGTCAGAAACGTCTGCAAGCCATGAAATTCTTTTCTTGTGAAAGACAGGTAATTGCACATGCAATTTTAATAGCTAGTCCCCAAACCCAGGCTGATGGATCAAGAATGAGATGGTTACTTTGCTTTGAATTACAATTACATACATAATCAGTAGCATCTTTCATTTCATACAATAGCTTGCAATAGACAAAACCATCAATCATTTGGCCATGGTTTAGTAAGTTTAATTGTCCCTTTATTAAACCATGCATCATTTGAATTCCTTGAGGCTACAAAATCAACGATTTTGGAATGTGCTAATTTTCAGATAGAGTGACTATGAGAAAACTCTGGAAGAAGCTCTTGCAGTTTTTTTGTAGGTAGAATTGGAGGACACTTTATACTACTAAAGGAAGCATTAGTATCTAAGGCTGAGAGGCTGAAATGCATATTTATATCCTTTCAAAAGTAAAGAGATAGCTGGAACTTGTTCTGGGATAATCTGGAGACACGATCATCATACTATCTCTGAGAGCTGAAACTTTCGGTATCTTGCAGGCCTGGATTAATTGCCAGCTACACCATTCTCTATGTTACTTTGTGCAAGCTATTTATCCACTATAAGCCTTACTTTTTAAAATCTTCATTTGATCATCTCATAAATATTAATGAGGATTTACTCTGTTTTAGAGACAGTATTATATCTTGAATATGCCACAATCCATGAAAAACTGTGACTGCCCTCATGTAGTTTGAGAAAGACTTCTTATTTATTTAGTTAATTGTTTTGGAGACAGAGTCTTTCTCTATTGCCTAGGCTGTAGTGCAGTGGCGTGATCTCAGCTCACTGCAACCTCTGCCTCTTAGGTTCAAGAGATTCTCCTGACTCAGCCTCCAGAGTAGCTGGGATTACAGGAGCATGCCACAATGCCTGGCTAATTTTTGCATTTTTAGTACAGACCAGGTATCACCACGTTGGCCAAGCTGATCTTGAACTCCTGACCTCAATTGATCTGCCTGCCATGGCCTCTCAAAGTGCTGAGATTACAGTCGTGAGCCTCCATGCCTGGCTAAAAGACTCACTTCTTGACCAAACTTTATTTAAGGTCCTCTGAACTGCTTTCTTGACTGTGTCTTGGCATTGGCCCCCATCTTGTCTTTGTCCTCCCTAACTCCCAATTTAGTAAAGAACTTACTAAATTTAGTTTTAGTAAAGAATCCTGCTAAATCATAATCATCCTCCCACTCTTGATATCTGATCACTCTCAATATCAGACAAAATTGCTTGTCCTCCACCTCTGATACATAATTTCTTAGCAAGAATCTTATTAAGTCCATTTATCAAGAATCCCCCTACCCTTAATGTCTTCTCTTAGTTTTCTATTCACTGACCCCCCTCATTATTATTCTTGGCTATAAAGAATAATAATGAGGGGGGTCAGTGGATAGAAAACTAAGAGAGGGGACCCCTTCTTGTCCCTGTTGTATCCAGAGGTGAGCCAAATTTCTCTTTCCTTTTATAATAATCCTATTGTATTAGTCTTAAAATATCTTCCTTACTGTTTAAACAAGTGTCAGGAAAGCTTTTGTTCAATAAGTTTTGAGAATAAAGCTAATAATGACACCATCATCAAAAGCTTACTGCAAATATTAAATTTTATTGTCTATGTAAAGCACTTATCCAGGATCTAGCTCACAGTAGGATCTCAGTGTTATTAATATTAATATTACTTGATGACAATGATCACAATGATGAAGATAATGATGGTAACAGTAATCTGGAGGGGAAAGAAGGCTCAGAAAGTGCCTTGGGATTATCTTAGAATAAGCAAATGATGTATCTTTGTGGCCTTACTAGAAATAATAGATATTGGCATGATAGAAAAAGGGAGTTTGTGATGGTCAGAGAAGTTGAGTAATGAGTGGAGGTAATGGATCAACTCATCATTTTAAGTGTCCCATTTGGAGGGCAGGTGAATACCTGTTAGGAACCCTGCAAAGGGGATTCGTTTACTGAATGTGAGGTTAGCCTTCATGACCTTCCTCCATATTTTCAACCCTTTTTCTTTTTTTTTTTTTTTATAGCAAAACACTTTCTTTAATGATAATAGCAATAACAATAAGCATACTTACTGAGCACGTATTATGCCTTGGGTACTATGGTAACTGGTGTAAGAATATTAGCTCATTTAAATTCTAAAACAAGTTAATGAGACAAGTATTACTACTATCAGTAATTTTAAAATGTATGAAATAAGGTACAGAGAAATAAGTTTTTCAAGGTCATAAGAGTAAGTAGTAGTCAGGGAAGGGTGGGACTAGACTCCCGAGGCAGAGCTTGGATACTGATTCGGAACTAGCTAAAACAGGTCCGGAGCAGAAGCACTTCTCCATAAGATATGCCCCACAGTAGGCCATGTCAGTTTACCATTGCCATGGCAACACCCAGACATTACCACCTCTTTCCCTGGCAATGACCTGACAACCCAGTAGTTACCACCCTCATCTTAGAAATTGCTGCATAAGCTGGCCCCAAATTTGCATATAATTAAAAGTGGGTATAAATATGAATCCAGAACTGCCTCTGAGCAGCTACTCTGGGCACACTGCCTATGGGCTAGCCCTGTTCCACTCAGCAAGGAGCAGTAGCTGTGCTACTGCACTGCCACTTTAGTAAAAATTGCTGTGTCATTCCAATTTCTTTGGATATATACCCAGAAGTGGGATTGCTGGATAACATGGCAATTTAAATTTTGGTTTTCAAGGAAACTTTATGTCGTCTTCCAAATGACAGGGCTAATTCACAACCCCATCAACAGTGTACATATTCCCTTTTCTTCACGTTCCCACCACACTTGTTATCTTTCATCTTTTTGATGCCAGCCAATCTAACAGGTGCAAAATGATATATTATTGTGGTTTTAATTCACATTTCTCTAATAATTAGAGATGTTGAACATTTTTTCATGTATCTCTTGACCATTTGTATGTCTTCTTTCAAGGAATGTTTATTCAGGTCCTTTGCCCATTTTTAATAGGACTTTTTTGTTATTTAATTGTTTGAGTTCATTGTATATTTTGGATATATGGTGAATTGATTTTTGAAAAGGGTGGTAAGACAAGTCTTTGGAGAATAATTTCAAAAATTCAGGCTGGAAGAACAGGATATCCACATGCAAAATAACGTGAGATATCACATATAAAGAGTAACTGAAAATGGGCCGGGCACGGTGGCTCATGCCTATAGTCCCAGCTACTTGGGGAGCTGAGGCAGGTGAATCACTTGAACGCTGGAGGTGGAGGTTGCAGTGAGCTGAGATGGCACCACTGTACTCCAGCCTGGTGACAGAGTGAGACTCTGTTTAAAAAAACAAAAACAAAAATAAAACTAACTGAGAATGGATCAGAGACTTACATGTAAAATCTAAAATGAAAGAACTTTTAGAAAAACACCCAAAGTATAAATCTTAGTAACCTCTGAGTAGGCAATGATTTCTTAAATATGACACTTAAAGAACAAGAACAAAAGATATAATAGGTAAATTGGACATCATGAAAATTGAAAGATTTTGTACCTCAAAGGACAACTCACAGAATGAGAGAATGAGAGAAAATATTTGCAAATCATGTGTCTGATGAGACACTGGTATCTAGAATATATATAAAAATCTACAGCTCAACAATAAAAAGGCAGTCTGATTAACAATGAGCAAAGGATTTGAATACACATTTCTTCAAAGAAATACAAAAGGTTGAAAAGCAATGAAAAGACCCTTAACACCATTAGTTATTAGAGATATGAAAATTACAATCAAAATCAGTTACCACTTCCAATCAATTAGGATGGTTAGGATTAAAAATAACAGATGAGGTACTGGTGAATAGGTAGAGAAATTGGAACCATTATACACTGCTGGTATAAATGTAAATGAAAATGTAAAATGGTGAAGCTGCTTTGAAAAATAGTGTGGCATCTCCTCAAAAAGTTAAACATAGCATTACTAGCAATTCCACTCTTAGGTATTTATTTAAGATTATTGAAAACATGTCCATACAAAACTTGTACATGAATGTACATAGCAGCTAATTATAAAACCCCAAATTGGAAACAACCTAACTATCCATCAATTTATGAATGATTGAATGTCATATCCATGCAATGGAATGTAATATTTTTCAGCTATATAAAGGAATGAAGTACTGATACATGCCACATGGATTAATCTTGAAAACTTTATGTTAAGTAAAAGAAGCCGAACACAAAGGCACATATTGTATAATTCTGTTTATATATGGTGTCAAAAACAGCAAATCCACAGACAGAAATTAGATTAGTGGTTACCAGGGATTGGGAAAATGGTTAAGGGGCAGGTGGATAGGAGTGACTGATAATGGCATAGTTTCTATTTGGTGTGATGAAATATCCTGGAATTAGATAGTGGTGAAGATTGCCCAATTTTGTTAACAGACCAGAAACTACTGAAATATACACTTGAAAAACATGAATTTTGAATCTCTCTCTCTCTCTCTTCAAGGGTGCAGAAAAGCCGTGAATTTCATGCTTTGTGAATTATTTCTCAATAATAATAATAAGATCCATTTAGGATCATGCATTGTCATGTTCTTCAGCCTTCTTCAAGGCATAACATTGAAACAGCCCTTTCTTGGATTTGAAAGTTATGGACCAGTGATTTTGTAGAATGTTTCTGAATTTGAGCTTGTCTGATATGTCATAATGATTATATTTAGGTTATGCATTTTTGTCAGGGAAATCCAAACATTATTCTGTGTTCTGCGTATTGTATCTTTTCAGACAGTATATATGGTGTTGATTTGCCTATCATTAAATGTGTCAACTTTGTTCACTTGAGTGTGGGCAGTGTCTGAAAGATTTTTCTACCATAAAGTTACTCTTTTTCTTACA